CAGAGAATTTAAAAACAGACCAATTTCAAAACTAGGTCATTTTTGGATTTTATTTCTCAATTTTATTTCAAGAAAAAATATGGAGACCATAAAGCCATCTTTAAGTACCAGACGTTTGTCATGTATTAATAGAACAGGAGCAGTATTTTGTGCATAAAATATATCTCCATTTAAGTATTTTGTCCTAACTTAGACTATTTCTAGAAGTATGGCCACGATGGTAGATATCTTTAAATATCTGAAGAGCTGTCTTTTTTTTTTTTTTTTTTTTTTGAGATTAAGTTTCACTCTTGTTGCCCAGTTCGGAGTGCAATGGTGCTCACTGCAACCTCCGCCTCCCGGGTTCAAGCAATTCTCCTGCCTCAGCCTCCTGAGTAGCTGGGATTACAGGCATGTGCCACCATGCCTGGCTACGTTTTTGTATTTTTAGTAGAAACGGGGTTTCACCATATTGGCCAGGCTGGTCTCAAACTCCTGACCTCAGATGATCTGCCCGCCTCAGCCTCCCAAAGCGCTGGGATTACAGGCGTGAGCTGCCGCGCTCAGCCAGAGCTGTCAAGTAGAAGTGAGAACACGCTTATTCTCAGCTACACTTTAGAATGTGAAGTACAGTTATTATAACAAAGTGAGGGTTTTCCGAAAAGGAAAAGTATATAAATTGGACAGGGTCCGAAGAAGGAACAAATGCTCCCTCACTAGAGAAGTTCATGGATTGGCTGGATGACCCTTAAGGAATCTCATAAAAGGGGATTTTCAGAAGCGTAATTAGGCTAGAGAAGCTTTGAAATTATTTTCTTGCTAAGATCCTATAAGACCAAAGTTGACAGCCATACACATATACATACATAGCGTACACTCCTACAACACATATAAATGCCAAGTTCCGAAGTTAGACTTTTCTAATTCTATTTGCCAGAGAATCCAGGAACTAGAAGCTACTTTGTACAATGCTCTGCAGCAAGAAACTGTTATCAAGTTTGGTGAATTATTAAGTGAAAAACAGCAAGAGGAGCTGAGGACGGCAGTAGAAAAGTTACGGCGGCAAATGCTGAGGAAGAGCAGAGAGTATGACTGTCAGATTCTTCAGGAAAGAATGGAGCTTTTACAGCAAGCCCATCAGGTGAGGACTGAGTCACTGTCTCTGTGTAGGGTTAGTACTAAGCAAATGAGACTTAGTACTAAGGACACTGTATTGAGTAAGGGTATGGAGAAGCCCAGGAGATACAAATTATTTTCAGAGTCTACAATAAATAACCATTGTTTGCCACCTTCATGCACACACAAAATGACAGTTTTGCAATAATTCATTCTTGAGAAAATTGGCCTTTCAGAAGGACTGCATACTGCTACTATTTTTAGAACTACATTGTCATGAAATGCCCTTTGAATGTCCTGATGTCTGATTATTTGACTTATGCAGGGAAGCAGAACACACCCCAGGACCAAAATAGTGCTTCCTATTTATTGCTCACTCCAGTTCACAGCCTAACCTGATGAAATAATGCGAATAGTGTAAAAGAGAACAAGGGCCATTCACATTACAAACCTCACCACCCACAAAGCCTGGCAGTTGCCATTTACTTACTGACATTTGCTGTGTGTCAGTAACTAAGGGTTCTACTTACATTATTTCATTTAATCTTCATAATAGCCCTATGAGGTAAGTATTTTTATTATCTCAATTTTGGAGATAACAATACTGAAGATAAGAATGCCTAAATGATTCGCCCAAGATGACGCAGATGGTAAGCAACAGTCAGGATGACAGCCTAGATCTGCTGGACTCCAAGGCCAGTATGTCTAACCACTGTACTGTACTGTCATCCATTACTTACATGATATATCTAGACCAGCGAGACTCAAAATAGGCACCCAATACTAATTTCCAGCTAAAATTTTTAATTGCAACTCTTTATTCATGCCATAGCTTGTCTGTTGAGGGCTGAGATAGATTCAGTAAGGATTCCAGAATTACAAGTGTCAGGTTACAGTATTCAATCCTCAGAAGCTATAAGAAGCAACTGGTACAAAATCCACATGGTATGCACAGGCGGTAAGAATCATGTGGTCATCAGTGATCAAGGTGAGTGGAAAAGAAGCAGGGGGTCTTCTATGATGCCAATAAAAACAATTCATGAGGGACATGACACTTAGCACACTTCAGATGCAGCCAGGAGCTTTGTGGATTTTATAGGCTAACAGATTACTCAAGTAGGCAGAGAATTCTGAAGCCATGTGTTCCAGAGATGATAAATACATACATGTTCCTATTAATGCTCCTTCAGATTCCATAACAAAGGTTTGTGTTTTGACTCTTGGAAAGACTTCTTACAGTCTTTAATAATAGACTCTATGGTATCATTGCATTATTTCATGCATTCTTTTCTTCTATCAGGGGACAAAAATGTCCTCTGTACACATTTCTTGTGCTGCAATAGCATGTAATTACTTTCAACAAATTGGGAGTTATGTCATGGAAACACAGAAGTGTCCTCTTTTAAGATGGACTAATGGTTATCTAAATTTAATTATGATGAAAACTTTATTCTATTTGAGTGTTTCTTTAACCATTTAGTTAAGATACTTCATTCCTGAACGAGTTGGTTTTAAGTTATCCAGTATTGCCAATAGTACACTATTTCTGAACCTCAGAGAGTTTCGTTGACATTTTTCATCCTTCCCCTAAACAAATGCTCATTAGCATACACCTTTCTAAGTTATTTCTTACTCTTCTTCCCTTTTAATCAATAGCTGAGTTTCATAGAATTATTCCAGAAGATATTGGTCAGAACCTTTCATATAGAACTATGTAATACATTCCTACTTCTAAAGTATATCACTAACCATTTATTAGACACTTCTGCTTGAATGTTTAAGAGTGAACTCATGCATTCTTATCTTTTCTTATGCATTCTTATCTTTTCTTATGCATTCTTATCTCATTCTTATCTTTTCTTATTTTATTCTTATCTCTCTCCCCATCTGCCTGTCTTAGTCAGTAGAATTACCATATCTCAAATCACCCCAGCTAGAAACATTGGAGTCTTCTCTGTTCTTTCCCTGTAAGCACTAATATAGCACCACATCCACCTGGAATTTCCCCTGAAATGTTTTTGATACTGGTCCATTTTGTTCATACTTGTCACCCCAGGCATGTGCAGGACTTTTCATTATTGCACCAGCTTCCAGGTACTGCCAAATGTTCTTATGTGAATTTCACTCCACCATCTATGCATTTATTCAGTCAAACCTTTAAATGTTTCCTTGGTGCTAGATACCAAGTTAGACATAGAGAATTCACGGTGGACCCTGCCTTCACAAAATGTAGGACTCATAAGTGGACATAAAAAAGATTGACACAAAGAAAAATAATTGATATATCATAATAAATGGCATTTTAAAAAGCAGATGCAGGTACCATGGGGACCTAGTTCTAGCTCTCCTCTTTTCAATCCACCACATTTTCTCACTACAGATCCTTCTCACTTTTCCTCGTGGTACATTCTTTCCCCAAAGCCTCCATGATCCCAATTTCCAGTTGAGTTGAGTCTTACGCAGGTCTCTTCAGGTCCTTCAGTAGCTGAGTACCCCACCCACGAAAACTAGATTTGACCCAACCCCAGAGCATACTTCCTTCTCCACTCATTAAAAATGTCCTGGTCCCACTTGTACTGTGATTTTCCACCTCCAACCCTTTGTTTGCATGATTGCTCGCCTTAAAGTATCCTTTAGTTTCCATTGCAATTGGTCCAAGTGTTCTCATTTCTCCAGTCCCAGTTTAAGATCTAACCCATTCATGATCTCCCTGGTGAAAAGTGAAAAAATGAACCACCTACTGCTCAGTAAATCTACCTTCTATATTTTGTTATGCACTCATTCACAACCATTTATTGAGGGCCTGCTCTGTACCAGGTGTTGGGAGTGTGATGGTAAGTAATGACATACAGATCACTACACTCTCTATCCCACAGAGGGACAGGGACAGAGCCACAGCACAAATGAACAATGACTGAGGCAATTTCTGAGAGGGTCAGTAAGTGCTATGCAGAAAAGTATACAATGTATGTGTGAGTTTTGGAGTAGGATTGGCCACTTTAGGCTGGCTGGTCAGAGAAGGCCTCTCTGAAGATACCTAATATCCAAGAAACGAGCCACGCAAAGATCTTGGCCAAGTGTCCCAGAAGACAGGGACAAGAAAGGCTAAGTTCCTATCATGGGAATAAGCTTGGAATAGTCAAGGAACAGAGCAAAGGCTAGAATGTCAGGAGCATACAGAGCCAGGGTGAGATTGATAGGAAGCGATGTTGAAGAGCTAATAAAGGGCCACATCACATGGGGCCTTGCAGGAGTTTGCACTGTATTATGAGTGCCACTCAGCTAACTCTTCCTTCTTTCCTTCCCACCTGCTTAAACTCAGGGGACCATGGAGATCATTTTTACATTCTGGGAGTTCACAATGCCTGCTATAGATGATGTAGGTTATCAAAGTAAGAGGCAGGAAGAGCAAGTAGAAGGTGCCACACCAGTCCTGATGAGGGAAGGCAATGACTTGGTGAACTTGGTAGCAGTAGAGATAAAAAGAAGTGATAGAAAAGGAATGTTTGGGTCCAACAAGCTTTCCTGTTGGATGGATGGCAAAGGGTTGGGAAGCAAAAGGAAATCAAGCATACATTATATGATGTAGCATAACACATTTACTTAACTAAAAAATATATATGGACAGCTTCTCCATGGTAAACAGTGCACTAGGAATTGGAGATGGGTGGTAAAGTTATTCAGCTTTTCCCATTGTTTTCCTTTACTGTTTAATTTTGTCATCCCATCTGGATCTGATGGTTCTTTCAAATCAGGACCTAATTGGTACCTTATCTGTATTGTACATTGCATTCAGCACAGTCATGAGCATGTAAGAAGGTGCCCAACAAGCATAGACGTAATGGAGGAATAGATTCTGCAGTAATTTTACATCTTCATGATTTTGTCCATATCGTACTTACCTCCACATCCAGTGGACATGCCAAGAAACTACTTGCACACTCAAGGTGGAAATATCTAGCAAATGTATTCTTTACTGTGTAGCTATGGAGCATTGACAGCACTGTGGAAATATACACTAGCACACACATCACACATGTATACACATACCATCAACATTCCAGTCCCATCCCTTTCTCCAGCATTCATTATGGCATAATTTCAAGGTTAACCTTTATGTTCTCACTCTGACCAAAACATACCATCCCTTGTTGCACAAACCTTAGCTCCCTTACTTTAAAGCAGAGTTTCTCAATCTCAGCACTACTGAAATTTTAAAGCAGATAATTATTTATTCTTTTTTAAGGGGAGGGGTGGCTGTTCTGTGCCTTATAGGGTGTTTAGTAGCATTCCTGGCTTCTACTCGGTAGATGCTAGATGCACACAATCCCAGTTGTGACAATGCAAAAATGTCAACATATTTAGATAGCGGTGATGGCTGCACAATTTTGGGACTATACTAAATTAGCCACTGAATTGCACAACTTAAAATAAATAAACACAGTAATTAACTTTAAAAAAAAAATCCAGAACTGCCAAATGTCCCTGGTGGGGGCAGGGAGACATAAATAGTTGAGATCCACTGTTGTAAAGAAAAGGAGATATGATTTCCAAGTTCAAGTACCCTTTGTTCTAGCTCCCTTTTTATTCTCCTACTATTGCATTATAAAAACCTCTCTTTCTATATTATCATCCCATTTGGCTTCTAGTGTTTTCTTTATGGACTCCATTTCTCTGTTTTCTAATTATTCCCAACAGAGGTATTAAATCAGAAGTCTGCATTGTATAACCATGTACATGAGCACTAAAAGCCTTTAGATTGCTGATATAAATGTGAAGACTTAATTTTACTTGTAAATAGTTGTTATGTAATGTTGATTTCAAGTCTTCAGTGTTTAAATTAGTGGAATTTTTTACATAATTGAGAGGTAAATTCAGGCAGTCTTTAGGATGGCTTGTGTTATGTTTGTATGTTCTTCTGTTTTTTTCCCTAATTTATCAGTTGTTTGTTTGTTGATGTGTAACCTCTACTTTGTTTTATGAGAATCGACCAATTCCGTTTTGTGAGAAAATTCTATCTTGAACCAGGGTTGAAATCGGGTTAGGAAAAAAGGTTAAGAACGAACTATGGGCTTGTTTACATCTATGTGATTCAGCCTCAGCTGTCTCTAATGTGGAAAGAAACAACCAAAATCCCAATCCAAATGGTTCCTAACAAAGCTTATTTCTTGCTCTCTAGTTCTGGGACATACTGCCCCCTCTACAAGAATTTGATATTCCCACATCTTATTCCAACTCACATTCCACTGGGCAAAACAAGTCTGTTTGCCAAACCCAATGCCAGTGGGGTGGGACCTATACCTCACTAGGAAGGGGTCTACAGGGGTAGGCCCAGTCGAAAGGGTGGAAAATACTTTTTGAAAAGATAATCAATGATAATGATTTTACCAGAAGCACAGATAATTTCTGAAACATACAACACATTTTTGGGTAGGGAAAAACTATACATGTGATATTTCCAGCTGCTCGTACAAATATTCATGTTTGTATAGGAAGTTTCGTGTTTTAGTTTGGTGAATGATTTTTTCACACAACTGAACACCCCACTGATGCTTTCTCTTTTTTCTTTCTTCAGAGAATCCGTGACTTAGAAGATAAAACAGACATCCAGAAAAGACAAATAAAGGACTTAGAAGAAAAGGTATCTGTCAAGTTCAATAACTATCTTATTCTTTGTTTAATCACAAAGTAATATTGATTTTGCTCACTGTATTTTCTTTCTGGCTTCTCAGTTATTGTGTGTCTTGCAGAGGTAGGTGTAGTTACAGGAAACCTAGCCCTCACCTTCAGTCAGACACCAGAATGCCAGCAAAGTCTCCCATCAGTAACTTGACCTTCAAATGTTTGTCTTTTGTGTTGCTTTCTTATTTTTTCCTGTGTTTTCTTTCCTTAGTTTCCCCTTCCTCATCTTCATTTCCTTTCCAAAAGTTTATTCAGTGTTTTATTACCCTACTTTGCTCTTTTTTAAAAAAAATCTTTTTGCACCTTTTTTAATCTTTCCCATTATCATTCATAAAAAGACCTTTCATCATTGTGCTGCAGTTTCACCTCACCAATAAGTTAGAAACTTGGATTGATATATGATAATTATGTTGTCCTGCCACTTCCCCAGTGAGCTGAAAGAGCGGCTGCTTCCTCCAAGTCAGCCAGTGTTTTTGAGTGATATAACACTGTGGCTGTTACAGAGGGCACTTGGAAATGTGTGTGGGGTAGGAGAAGGGACAGAGCTCAGGCTGGGATGTTGAACAAGCAGCAGTGAGCTACCCAGCCTTGCACAATAAAAAAAAAAAAGCCTGGAATTTTCAGGCAAGATGGCCAAATAGGAACAGCTCCTGCCTGCAGCTCCCAGGAAGACCAATGCTGAAGGTGGGTGATTTCTGCATTTCCAACTGAGGTACCCATTCATCTCAATGGGACTTCTTAGACAGTGGGTGCAGCCCATGGGGGATGAGTAGAAGCACAAGGGGTTGGGGAACTCCCTCCAGTAGCCAAGGGAAGCCATGAGGGATGGTGCACTCCAGCCCAGATACTACACTTTTCCCATGGTCTTCACAACCCACAGGCCAGGAGATTCCCTCTGATGCCTACACCAAAAGGGCCCTGGGTTTCAAGCACAAAAGTGAGCGGCCATTTGGGCAGACAACGAGCTAGCTGCAGGAGTTTTTTTCATACCTCAGTGGCGCCTGGAACACCAGCAAGACAGAACTATTCACTCCATTGGAAAGGGGGTTGAAGCCAGGGAGCCTAGTGGTCTTGTTCAGCAGATCCCACCCACACCAAATCCAGCAAGCTAAGATCCACTGGCTTGAAATCGTCGCTGCCAGTACAGCAGTCTGAACTCAATCTGAGACGGTAGAGCTTGATGGGGAGGGAAGCACTGCCATTACTGAGGTTTGAGTAGGCGGTTTTCCCCTCACAGTGTAAACAAAGCTGCTGGGAAGTTCAGACTGGGCAGAGCCTACTGCAGCAACACAAAGCCATTATAGCCAGACTGCCTCTCTGGATTCCTTCTTTCTGGACAGGGCATCTCTGAAAGAAAAGCAGCAGCCCCAGTCAGGAGCTTATAGAGAAAACTCACATCTCCTTGGGACAGAGCACCTGGGGGAAGGGGCAGATGTGGGTGCAACTTAAGCAGACTTCAATGTTCCTGCCTGCTGGCTCTGGAGAGAGCATCAGATCTCCTAGTACAGTGCTCAAGTTCTGCAAAAGGACAGACTGCCTCCTCAAATGGGTCCCTGACCTCCATGCCTTCTGACAGGGAGACATATCCCAGCAGGGTCAACAGACACCTTATACAGGAGAGCTCCAGCTGGCATATGGCGGGTGCCCCTCTGGGACAAAGCTTCCAGAGGAAGAAGCAGGCAGCAATCTTTGCTGTTCTGCTGCCTCCACTGGTGATACCCAGGCAAACAGAGTCTGTAGTGGACTCCCAGCAAACTCCAGCAGTCCTGCAGAAGAGGGGCCTGACTGTTAGAAGAAAAACAAACAAAAGCAATAGCATCAACATCAATAAAAAGGACAACCATGCAAAAACTTTATCCAGAGGTCACCAACAGCAAAGGCCAAAGGTAGATAAATCTGTGAAGATAAGGAAAAATCAGTGCAAAAAGGCTGCAAATTCCAAAAACCAGAATGCCTCTTCTCCTCCAAAGGATCACAACTCCTTGTCAGCAAGGGAACAAAATTGGACAGAGAATGAATTTGATGAATTGACAGAAGTAGGCCTCAGAAGGTGGGTAATAACAAACTCCTTTGAGCTAAAGTAGCATGTTGTAACCCACTGCAAGAAAGCTAAAAATCTTAATTAAAGGTTAGAGGAATTGCTAAATAGAATAACCAGTTTAGTGAAGCACATAAATAACCTGATGGAACTGAAAAACAGCACAAGAACTTTGCGAAGCATACACAGGTATCAATAGCTGAATCAATCAAGCAGAAGAAAAGATATCAGAGATTGAAGATCAGCTTAATGGAATAAAATATGAAGATAAGATTGAAGAAAAAAGAATGAAAAGAAATGAACAAAGCCTCCAAGAAATATGGGAATATGTGAAAAGACTGAACCTACGTTTGATTTGTGTACCAGAAAGTGACGGGGAGAATGGAACCAAGTTGGAAAGCACACTTCAGAATATTATCCAGGAGAATTTCTCCAACTTAGCAAGACATGCAAACATTCAAATTCAGGAAATACAGTGAACACCACAAAGATACTCCTCGAGAAGAGCAACTCTAAGACATGATTCACCAAGGTTGAAATGAAGGAAAAAATGTGAAGGGCAGCCAGAGAGAAAGGTTGGATTACCCGCAAAGGGAAGCCCATCACACTAACAGTGGATCTCTTAGCAGAGAAACCCTACAAGACGGAAGAGTGGGGTCCAATATTCAACATTCTTATAGGAAAGAATTTTTAACCCAGAATTTCATATCCAGCCAAACTAAGCTTCATAAACGAAGGAGAAAAAAAATCCTTTATAGACATGCAAATGATGAGGGATTTTGTCACCACCAGGCTTGCCTTACAAGAGCTCATGAAGGAAGCAATATGTGGAAAGCAAAAACCAGCACGAGCCACTGCAAAAACAAACCAAAATGTAAAGACCATCAAAACTATGAAGAAACTACATCAACTAATGGGCAAAATAACCTGCTAGCATCATTATGACAGGATCAAATTCACACATAACATTATTAACCTTAAATGTAAATAGGCTAAATGCCACAATTAAAAGGCACAGACTGACAAATTGATTAAAGAATCAAGACCCATCAGTTTGCTGTATTCAGGAGACCATGTCACATGCAAAGATACACATAGACTCAAAATAAAGGGATGGAAGAAAATTTACCAAGAAATGGAAAGCAAAATAAAGCAGGGGTTGCAATCCTAGTTTCTGAAACAATAGACTTTAAACCAACAAAAACAAAAAAAGACAAAGAAGGGCATTACATAATTGTAAAAAGATCAACAAGAAGAGCGAACTATCCTAAATATATATGCACCCAATACAGGAGCACCCAGATTCATAAAGCAGATTCTTAGAGACATACAAAGAGACTTAGACTCCCACACATTAATAGTGGGAGAATTTAACACCCTACTGTCAATATTAGACAGATCAATAAGACAGAAAATTAACAAGGATATTCAGAACTTGAACTCAGCTCTGGACCAAGCAGACCTAATGGACATCTACAGAACTTTCCACCCCAAATCAACAGAATATACATTCTTCTCAGCACCACGTAGCACTTATTCTAAAATCGACCATTGGAAGTAAAACACTCCTCAGAAATGCAAAAGATTGGAAATTATAACAAACAGTCTGTCAGACTACAGTGCAATTAAAGTAGAACTCAGGATTAAGAAACTCATTCAAAACCATACAACTACATGAAAGCTGAACAACTTGCACCTGAATGACAACTGGGTAAATAACAAAATTAAGGCAGAAATAAGTAAGTTATTTGAAACCAATGAGAATGAAGGCACAACATACCAGAATCTCTGGGACACAGCTAAAGCAGTGTTTAGAGGAAAATTTTTAGCAATAAATGTCCACAGGAGAAAGCAGGAAAGATCTAAAACCATCACCCTAACATCACAATTAAAAGAACTAGAGAAGTGAGGGGACAGAAATTCAAAAGCTAGCAGAAGACAAGAAATGACTAAGATCAGAGCAGAACTGAAGGAGTTAGAGACACAAAAACCCTTCAAAAATCAATGAATCCAGGAGCTGGTTTTTTGAAAAGATTAACAAAATAGATAGACTGCTAGACAGACACATAAAGGAAAAAGAAAGAAGAATCAAATAGACACAATAAAAAGTGATAAAGGAGAGATCACCACTGATCCCACAGGAATACAAGCTACCATCAGAGAATACTACAAACACCACTACACAAATACACTAAAAAATCTAGAAGAAATGGATAAATTCGTGGACACTTACACCCTCCCAAGACTAAACCATGAAGAAGTAGAATCCCTGAATAGACCAATAACAAGTTCTGAAATAGAGGCAGTAATTAATAGCCTACCAACCAAAAAAGCCCAAGATGAGATGAATTTACAAATTAATTCTACCAGAGGTACAAAGAGGAGCTGATACTATTCCTTTTGAAACTATTCCAAACAGTAGAAATAGAGGAACTCCTCCCTAACTCATTTTATGAGGCCAGCATCATGCTGATACCAAAACCTGGCAGGGACATGGCAACAACAACAAGGAAAATTCAGGCCAATATCCCTGATGAATATATTGATGTGAAAATCCTCAATAAAATACTGGCAAACCAAATCCAGCAGCACATTAAAAAGCTTATCCACCATGATCAAGTCAGCTTCATCTCTGGGATTCAAGCCTGGTTCAACATATGCAAATCAACAAACGTAATCTATCACATAAACAAAACCAATGACAAAAACCACATGATTATCTCAATAGATGCAGAAAAGTCATGTGATAAGATTCAACAGCGCTTCATACTAAAAACACTCAACAAACTAAGTACTGATGGAACATATTTCAAAATAATGAGAGCTATTTATGCCAAACCAACAGCCAATATTATACTGAATGGGCAAAATCTGGAAGCATTCCCTTTGAAAACCTGTACAAGATAAGGATGCCCTTTCTC